ATAAAGAGATAACTCTAGAAGAAGCATTCAACCTCCATCAAAATGCATAAGCCGTGTCCTTGCTTGTCTCAAGTTTGGGTCCAAATGAGTTCAACAAAGTGAATGGAATGGAAAGTGCTAAGCAAATTTGGGATGCTTTGAGAACATCATTTGAAGGGGACATGAGCGTGAGAAAAGGCAACATTGAGCTCACCTCTTCCTAGAATAAGGTAATTGTAATAAACTTTGGCTATGAACCAAACACCTGCCACATACATTTGCCAAACTTGTGGCAACTCATATGACTATGAACCAAACAGTTGCCGGAGTTAAATCTGCCACATCTAAAGTTAGGCATGGTAGTGAACCAAACACCTTATTTTTGCCACAATGTTGGCATGCCACTACTCTGGCATATGCCTAGCCTTAGTTGCGGCAAACTCTGGCTGTGAACCAAACAGGCCCTAAATAAAGCACTATCACTGTCTTCCTCTGTCCTTTGTCAAACTTCCTAAAATTTTATTAAATTTATAAAAAATAGTATTAATATCTACTCTCTCCGTCCCAAAAAGAATGTAATCGTGGGTTTCAAATCCTGTCTAAAAAAGAATGTAAATGTAGATTTAAAATAAACTTTTCCAATAGGACCCACCCATTAAAAATACTACTACATGTCTAAAAACTATCATATTCTATCCATCCATAAGAAGAACATTCCGGAATGTAACCATTGTTTTTTATTTCTAGAATGATAGAGTAGGGGTAAATGTGTAATTTGACACCTACACTAATCTTACCTCGAAAAGTGAGATTTATATTTTTTCTGGGACAGAGGGAGTACAACACAAATAAATAGTATATACAAAATATATCTCATGACCAATCTAACGACACTTATTTAGTATCATAAATATTGATATTTTATAAATTTAATCGAATTTAAAAATACTTGACTATGTGATATGCTAAAACTATATTCCTTTCTAGGCGACACCCAAGGATGAAAGGATGGAAGAACGGTAACAAATTGGTACTCAAACACCAAGGTGTCCGCCCCTAGTCCATGTGCCCTTTACCAACTCTCACCCCTACAAGGTTGCAAAAACATGGGATAAATCATGTCTTCTTCCCAATTTATTTTCTATGTTTATCTTGTCCGTTCCGTATCTGCTAAAAAATACAAAGCAATGTGAAGAGAAGCAAGAAGAGGTGTTTTATGTCCACTTTTACAAGATCCCACTTTTAAAAGGGATAAATCCATATTTGCAAATCTGAATTAAGTTTGATCAATTGTTATTCTATCAACATTTTCACAATAAATAATTAGGTTTTTTTTGCGAATTACACAAGTACAGACGCAGACGCTCAACACGCACGCACACTCACTCGTATAAATACGCATAGGTAAATCCTACCCCTATGAGCACCTCTGAAAGACTGTGCTGGCACAGATGATGTCACCACAGGCGTCTCGCTGTTGACCGGAACGTCGCCTACCACTAAAAGCACAACGTCGGATAAATCCATATTTGCAAATCCGAAACGTTTTCAAAATGGCGCCCGTCGACGGGAATGTCGCCTACCACTGAAGCACATCGTCGTTAAATCATAGAATAAATCTAGAAAAATGCGAGCACCCATACCAAGTCAATAACTTGAACCCGGGTGGACAGGTTCCACCACAAAAACTAACCAACTGAGCTAGTCTCAATTCGAACATTAGTTTAATAAAGAGCGAAGGGATTCTTTCTTCTGTCTTTTTTACTTCCTAAAGTGTTTTCGCGCCTTTTGTGTCTCGTATCTGACCTGGACTTATGACCCATGCTCATACAAGTTAAATCAACTCACGTCCAATAATTGTATAGAGTTCAATTCTAAGATATATTGGGTTTCGTTACAATGTACATGCACATTTGCTAGTAATTTGTGAAGTTAGCCTTAAGAATGCTTGTCAGACATTTTAACAAAAAATCTAACATGCCATGTAGACGCACTAGGCATTATCCTCATCCCAGTTTAAGTTTCTGACTCCTGTTCCTTTTTTTAAATATTTGTACTCCTGTATATATCGTTTCTATTTTGGTTCTCAACTATCATGGTTCTAGTCCCGTTGCCAATGTAGAACAGAAATAGTTAAGGCTGTGTTGATGTAAATATTTAGGAACATGAAATTAAATTAGGTTCAATACCAATCAGCCTTGGTATTGAATTGGCTGCAATTTAAATTCTGTTTGTTTGGATGCCTATTAAATTGGCATTAGAACCCTAGAAAGGAGCCTTGTCTTGAGGAAAAGTAGACGGACCACTCGTCGCAGGGAAGAAGAGAACGGACGCATAATGATAACTACTCCCTCTCTGTCCTGAATAAATAGATTCCTAGAGTTGTCTTAAGTTAAACTTTTTAAACTTTGACCGAATTTTTAGAAAAAATATTAAGATTTATGGTTTCAAATTAGTATCATTAGATTTACTATAGAATATATTTTCATAAGGTGCTCATTTTATGACATAGGTGTTGTTACTCTTTTCTATAAAGTTAGTCAAACTTAAAAAAGTTTGACTGACACATACTCTAGGAATTGATTTATTTAGGGATAGAGGGAGTACATCGTGGGTAGCGACGGTGGATGTGATGATGACGTATTGGGACCGGAGGCGCGTCGGGTGACAGAACATTGGTGGACGGTTCATCGAGGGCAGTGGCACATTGGGTGGTGGCGTGTTGGGGGCGACGTGAAAGGGTTGGTGAATGCAAAGCAATACAAAAGAGCATGGTTGGTATTGAAGTTGAAGAGGATGCAAGTATATGAATAGAAGTTGATATTAGAGTCAAATTCAAATTTTGAATTCTTAATCGTTCAAATAGTCCCATTTGAAGCTAGCCGATACTAATTCCAAATAGTGACGCCCAATGTTTACCTCTATGGAATTGCGGGCGCCCGAACATCTGATGGGATAGGATTCCATCGGATGGTACCGAATAGCCCAGCAGAAACACGCAACACTCCTACTGTGTCGCTGCAGTGCTTTCCCGTCTGCCTCGTCCCGCCACACACGCGTACCCTGCCCCCATCCGTCTCGCCCCGCCCTACGCACGCCGCTCCTTCCCCCTGACCTCTCTCTTCGTGCGGGCGGGACCCTAGAGGCGGGATGAGGACGAGCACGCCCCGTTTGCAAGAACCTAGGTGCGCCACGCAGCCCATCTGCCGGCCCCCGGCTCGCCGCGCCCCTTCCCCGGCGCCTGGGCCGTGCCCCCATGACTCTCTGAACATGCCTCTGAAACACAAACACTTACAATATGAAACACTTGAAAAGCAACATATGTCTGAGCAGATGAAACAATTAGGACATACACTTGCAACATGCGTGTAAAACATATACAACATTCAGATAAAACATTTGCAACTTGCAACATGGAAACACTTATTCCAACATAAGACTGAGACAGCTAAAACATTTCGAACGTACTCTTGCAACATATGTGTGCAACATATGCAACATCTAAATAAGCACACTTGCAATACACGTCCGAAAAAGTAGATGAAACATTTAGAACGGACGCTTGCAACATACGTGTACATCCATTGCAACATGTGCAACATCACGATCTATTTTTTAACATCCGTATGAAACACTTGCAACATATCCATATAAAACACTTACAACATACATCTGAAACATCTGAACCAATTGAAACATACTCTTACAACATGCGCTTTCAACGTAACATCTCCTTGCTGCTCGGCAGAATGGAGGCTCGTCAGTATGTTGTGTTCACCGGAGGCAGCGGCCCTACGACGCTTGTAGGCGGCGAGCCGGTGGTAGTGACTACACGTCGTGAAAGGGAGGCATCGGCCGCACGAGCGGCCGCGGCCGCGTAACTTGGAGAGGGTAGGAGCGTGCCACGCCTGGTAGGGCCGGCAGCCGCGCGCCGCGCCTCGGAGGTGGCTGCGCGCCGTGCCTGGCAAGGCCAGCGATCGAGCGGTGCGCCTCGGAGGGCCAGCGGCTATGCACTCGGAGGTGGCAGGCGAGCGGATTAGAGCGATAGGAAGAGGAATGAGCGGATAGGAATAAGTGGATGAGTAGTTTTTTTAAAACGAAGTAGCATATGTTGTTGGACTAGTGTCGTGGCCTAGCAAAGGAGAGTCCGGGCGGACGAACGTCCGGTTCGAAGCATTACCCTTATCCCTAAACATTTGCAGAAGGCATATTCCGACCGACCGTCCGTTTCATCCTTGCCGACCTGCGCCCCAGACCCGTCCATGCCAATTGCCAAAAGTCCAAGGCTAGTACACTGTGCACTGTACAGGACAAGCAAGCACTTCCGCCGTCTTGCGATTCTTCACACGCCAAAGCAAGCGCAGCCGCCAGCCGCGGATAACGAGCGAATCGACGATGGTGCACTCCCTTGAAGCATCCTTCCTCCCATCCCATCCCATCCCGGCAAAACCAAGTCCAAGATCACAAACAAACGTACTACGTGCACGACAGTGCATCCACAGGCGCCGATCAACAATTTGCATCCTCCGGCGACCAACATTTTTTAGGTTCGATCGAAGCCCCGTTGCAATTTCACCAACCCGAAACCGAAACGTTCTCAAATCGGAGAAGCCACGTGCAAACCCGCGCCGCGATCGCAGCGGTTGTTGGGTCCGCGACAGCGAAGGCGAAGCTACAAATCCCTCGCCACTCGTAGCAAGACACCAAATCATTAGAACGCCCCAGATAATTAAATCCGTGCTGCCGTGACGGCACCAACAGCGACCCGTTAGCCGGATTTGAAAACCGGAGAGGAATCCATCCCCAATTCCCATCGTCGCAGGCCTTTGCGCGAAGCCAACTCCTCCCGTCGTCTCACAGATCTGTTTCTCTTTCCCGAACAATTCGAATTCGATCGCTCCCCGGTCATCCGCGCCGGCCAGATTTTATGCAGCCATGCAGAGCGGCGGGTCTCGGTACAGTTTGACTACTGCTGCCGCCGCTGCTACGGGGCTGAGGAGGGATCGGTTTCGGGATCCGCAATGGCGAGCCTGTCGGACTCGGCGGGCGCAGGAGGCGGCGGCGGCGGCGGCCGCGCCGGCGCGGAGCTGATGGTGCCACAGTTCCTACTCAAGGCGCTGCACGCCATCCTCGCCGTGCGGTCGCCGCGCCCGCACGCGCCCCCGCCCCCGGCGGCGTCGGCGGCGTTCCGGAGGCGGGACCGCTGGTTCCACCTGCCGCTCCACGCGCCGCCGCCGCCGCCCGCGGCGGAGCACCTGCCGGAGCCGTCCCCCGGGGAGCCGCTCGTGGTGGACGTGTACCTGGCCCCGTCGGGCGGCGGCGGACCAGAGGAGGTGCTCGAGAGGTGGACCGTGGCGTGCGAGCCATGGCCCTCGCGCGCCGCGGCCGCCGCCGTCGGGGAGGGGCTGGCGGTCAACAGGGCGTACAAGCGCTGCATCACGCTGCTCAGGTCACTCTACGCCGCGCTCCGCTTCCTCCCGGCGTACCGCGCCTTTCGCACGCTCTGCGCGTCCGGCCAGGTGTACAACTACGAGATGGGCCACCGCGTCGGCTCCTTCGCCACGCCCTTCTCCCGCGCCGAGGAGGCGGCCATGCGCACCAAACGCCTCGCCCCCGTCGAGACCCAGCTCGGCCGCCTCGTCGTCTCGGTCCAGTACCTCCCCAGCCTCGCCGCCTTCAATTTCGAGGTCACTTCCCTCGCGTCAGCCGCGATCATCACGGATTATGTCGGCAGCCCGGCGGCCGAGCGTATGCGTGCCTTCCCAGCTTCGCTCACGGAGGCCGCCGGCCCGCCCTTTCCGCAGCCCTCGCGGCGCCCCAACAGCTGGGCGTCGCCAGCGCCCTGGCCGCACACGTTGGGGCAACCGGCGAAATTCTCGCCTCCGCCGGCCCATTACGCATCGCCCACGCCCTCGCCGCCGACGTTTGGCTATCTGCACTCACGGTTTAGCGGTGAGACTGCACCAATGAGCATACCACAGACGGGCGGTGGCAGGGGCACTGCGCACCATCGGAACATGTCGGAACCCAGTAGGGCCTTCATGTTTCCTCCACCTTCGCCAAAGAATGTGCGAGGGGAAGCAGGGATGCAGGAGTCACCTACAGAGACCAGTCGGTCATTCAAGAGGGCGGATGGCATCCGCATGGGAGATCTCTATGCAAACTTGCCGTCTGGTTCTAAGGTGATTTTACTTCCTTTTGCCCTTATTAAAACTAGGTGATGATGTCTGTGTGCTCAGATGAAAGCATAGGGCTATGCAGAAGTATCATATCATATCCGAACAACTTAGTAAGACCTTCTAGCAGTTTATTATATATGATGGTGCATTGAGTAGTGAAGGATGACTGTTTTTTGTCCTCAATGAAAGGCTCGTGGATAAAATACTTGTGTTAAACAAGCTGGCAGACTGTTCATTTTGTTCTTTCTATCAGCTTGTTTGGGAATTATGAACCTTAAGATTTAGTTAGTGTGTTCATCCATTGGAGCTATGTTGTTGTTGTTGTTGTTGTTCATCCATTGGAGCTTCAATTTAAGGGCAGGTACTTTTTTGCCTTTTTCGGCTTGGCTGATAACCCATGGCTGAAAGTATTGTTGGCTGATTTGTTGTGAGAGAAAATACTGTTCATTGGCTGAAAAAGTACGGCTTATAAACCAAGTGAACAGGGCGTTGAAGCTAATATTTCATTATTTTTCTTTACCTGGAAAGGTTGATAGGGATTTCCGATTCGTTTAGATGAAGAAAAGAATTCAATAGTCAGTGCTAATTTTGGAAATGAAAGAGAGACAAGCCCACCACAACAACAGAGAAACAACTGAGGCTGACTATTGTTGCCAAAATGGCAATAGGTCAAAGATAGTCATCTAAACTTGTAGCAGCATCTAGGTGCCTAACAACTGAACTATAACAGCATAAACCTTTGTTGTCTTATCTTATCTTCTTGGAATTGATTTTGTGATTTCAAGGATATACTCAGTGCCTCATTATGGAAAATCGTTTTATTTCTTCCTTTCCAAATGTTCCACCAAGTGTAGATGATAGCCCCACCAAATTCTTGCAATCCTTTTTTTTAGATATTTATCCACCATGAACTAAGCAGTCTTTTAGCCTGTAAAACTCTGAGAGGATGGCTAATATGCTTGAAACCAAGCTAATTTCCTGTAAAGTTCAAATTTGTGTTGTTACTTGTCAACACAGTATACAGGATAATTTGGCCATCATCTCTTGGTTATGAGACTGTCCGAAGTTACTGTCCTGTTAGCTGTTATGCAGTTTGATCCATGCAAGGGTTTGTTCAAATAAACCCATCCCCATGGGGATTGGATGGTGTTCTCCCCCCTAGAGTTCACCATATTCTCCTTCCACAGATTTGTAGTATTTGCATTAGTGTGGTAGTAGGATAACCTAGATACACCAATCTTACTATGTACTGGCTACTCCCTGTCTGTCTACCTCCACCAAATTTGCTCTTTTTTTTTTTTACACTACCTGTCTAACTTATCTTCAGCATGTATATAACATATATACTATATATAGCCATGAATTTCTAAGATGATGTGGCCACACATTGTGCATTTTTTTTCTTAACATGTTGTGATTGCATCTTATTATCACGCACTGCAGCTTGGTCTTTCATCATGAATAATTTGAGCACTGTATTCTTTAAATGTCTAGTGAAACCATCTTTTAAAATAAGTGCCAATCGTTTTGAAGTTTAGCTGGCAATTTGGTGTGTTGACCATTTATTATGATATTCATGTCTCATACTTGAAGCCAACTCACTATCAGTTTCTCCATCAAGCTCATGATTCATAATTAAGTCCCCCCTGTCATGGTTATAATCGATTGCTTGGACCATTAACATGTGTTGTGTTGGCTAGCACAGTGGTGGTGTTTTCCTTTTAAGGTCTCTCTTTTTGTCTCTTGTAAATGGGCTGCAGTTTGTTTTTCTCTAGCTGATGGTGTGGTTAAAGAATTAGTGGCATGTTTCAGACACACCCAGGAGTAAAATGTCAGTGTTGAAATCAACTATTAATGTGAATTCAGTAAGTTTGTTATCTATGTATTTTATTTAGGAATATCTTAAACTCAATAGACAGCTATGGAGAAGATGTATTTACATAATTTGAGTGCTTAGCCAGGCTTCCCTTTGGCTTGTAAGTTCTGGAGACTGGAGAGATAATGAATTTGAACTGCCAAATTTGATAAAGTGGCAGTATTCTTTTGCCATTGGGTGTTTCATTTGCCATGTACTTTGCTACTCCCTTTGACTTCAAATAAAAGTCCATCTGTACTCATGGACAGGAATTATAATGTTGTACATAGTATTGCCTATTCAATCAACATCACGAGATAGGTGATTTGCATGTTAGCCTATGGGTCAGGTGAAGGGAATAATAGGAAACATTACAAAAGACACTGAAATTAGTTTGGTGGGCTTGTATTCGGGTATAGTGATTACAAAGATGCACTGATATCAGAAACGGCTTGAAATTGTTGCCAAACTAAGTTGATGCTATCCTTCACAGATGTGCCACACTAAAGAAACAATAGGTTGATTGTGTGTCTTTCTCTCCATAACCTTTGCTTTTGCATATATTTGTCTTTCCTTGGTAGTTTGGTACCTGAATACCTTTTGTGACTGGTTGTCAAATTTGCATCCTAAAAATACCTTGCGATTATCATAATAACACTTCTGAAAGGTTCTAGAAACCTTGATGATTTGTAGTGTGGGGATGTCGTCATCAAAAAGAGACTAGTGATGCCGGGGGGAGTGTAACAGGAGTCTGAGTGCTCTTGTTGATCCACACTGAAGTTTCCCGAATCTATGAATCAATTGGGAGTGGTCGGAAGGGCATAAAAGGAAGAACTCTATGAGGAAGGGTGAGGAATTGATAGGCTTGGGTAAATGAAAAACATCCTGGATTCTTTCCTTCCACAAAACAGAGGAAGCTTGAAGCAACAAAAACCTATATATAGGGATTATAAAAGGGAAAGGTCCCTGACGCCATGGGAGCCTACCAAGGAAAGCTCTCCCATTAAATGAACGTCCCTGTGTACTCTTCAATTATTGCGGGAAGTGTGGGAATAAATGAATTTGACTGCCTCCTGTTTTTTCTTGCGTGCTTCACAACCTGCCCTTGTGCTTGTGCTGTGTGTAACCCAGTTTCCTGTTTTGATTCTGGTTTGGCATATCTATGGGTTTTACACTTTGCTCCATAGATTTCTTGTATTAGGAAATTGTTCTTTGCATTTTATTACAAAGCAAGGCTGATTGCCTGAATTTGGAATGTATTAACATTGTCACTGAGTTTGTTGGTTTTAACCTTTCTTGGTATATATGTGCAGGTTAAGGACAGTAGGGATGAATCTGGCAGGTTCTCTGGTGTCTTCTCTTCTAGTGGTTCACCACGACTTGGTTTCTCAAGAAGTTCAAGCAGATTATCAATGCAGGATGATACTGATGATGCGGATTTTCCTTTTGCTGTGGATGATGTTGATCCAGATTCACGACCAGGGTATATGTTCTGCTCTACTTCATCTTTGGTTCATCATTCTGTGCAATAGTTCTGCATATGTCAACTGATTTTTTTGACTTGGTTGTCCAATTTGTTAAGCAACATTGGCAGTCTCATAGCTTGGAAACTGCAAAACTCATTAGTAAATCTTTGCTGATTAAACCATGCAACTTTACAGGAGTAGTGGTGGAAAGGACACAGGGGATCAGGCTGGTTCGTCATCCCATAAATCCCAAGATGCTGCTGTTGGGTATCTTGTCCACCTGCTGAAATCTGCACGTCCACTGCGAGATTCTAGCTACTCATCTCATACATCAAGGGGTGAATCTATCGAGGCAGGAAGCACCAGCTCTTTCATGTCCCGCAGGACATCCGATGCACTGGAGGAGTTCGAATCTTTCAAAGAAATAAGGGAGAACCTGCTAGCACGTAGTAGGTCTCGGCTGCAAGATTCATTGGATAAACCCTAGTGTTGATGCAGTCTGGTTCCATTACTTAACAGGTGAAGGGTCCAAAGTAGTAGATCATATGGTGAGCTTGGGTTACTCTTTATTTCAGACTTGTCCACGTGTAAATAACTAATCAACTGGCGCTTGATTCTGAAAGAGAATGCACAGGTCGCCATTGATTCTATTGTTGGAAACTTCTCATTCTTAAACTCAAAGCAGGAATATCGTGTGCCTGTGTTCATAGTGTTTGTTTACAAGGGAAACCAACTGGATACATGTTACTGAGCGCCTGTGAGGATGTGACAGCCACAACGCTCAGGCATGTGGTATCATCGATCATGTAACTAGACTAAACTGTAAACTGTTTATTTATTCTATTTTGATGTCTTATATTTCATCGTTCGACCTATAAGATGTTTCTTACTGGTTTTCTGATACCCTAAATTCCTGATGACCTGATCTGAGAACTTAACGTTTTCTTTTGTGCAACATACATTTCATGGGCGTCTAGATTCACATGTGTAGAGGTGAAGATTGAGCTAATTTAGTTTAATATCCACGCCAATCAACCTCAATACATATGGATTGAGGTTGATATTGGTGCAGCCAAGCAAGTCCTCAGATTGCTCGTCATGGTTGGAACTGGTGCAAAGAATGGGTTTATAGATTTCCCTTTTCACGTTCTTCTTAAGGCTGTGCTAGTGCTCGGACGTCTAGACGGATGCCCTCGTCCGAACGCTTGTGCTGCACTTCGTTTCCCGCGCTCAAGCTAGCATGCCCTTGCTCGAGCCTGTAGGGACCGCTCACCACCCCCCCCCCCACACACACACTTCTCACGCGCATTACAACATGTGCAACACCTGATCTACTTTTGCAACATCCAGATGAAACATCTGCAACATACGTCCGAAACAGCCGAAATGCTTGCAACATACGTCTGAAACACTGGCAAACACCAGAAAAAACTTGAAAACACGCATGTATCCATGGCAAACATATGCAAACATCAAGATGAAACACCAACATACGTATGAAAACACCTGAAACACTTACATATGTATGCAACATCCCAATCTAGTTTTGCAACATCCAAATGAAACACTGCAACATACGTCTGAAACAGATGAAACATCTAGAACATATACTTGAAACATAGGTGTATAGCCCATTGCAACATGTGCAACATCCTGATCTACTTTTGCAATATCGATATAAAACACTTGCAACATACCTCTGAAACATACGCTTGCAATATGCGCTTTCAACGCAATGTCACTTTGCTACTTGGACGAATGGAGGCTCGTCGTTGCGGAGCTCAACGCCGGTGCAGAGGTCGCCTGCGGCGCATGGAGCTCGCTGGTGCGATAATGGCGTGGGAAACTCGCTGGCGAGGTGGTCTCACACGAAGATCCTCCCCTCGGCATTTTGATCATCACGTGCTATCACCATGGAGCATCTAGTAAGGCGCAGCGCCGACGTAATCGAAGACGAGAGCGAACCACGCGTGCCGCCGGCGAGGTTCTCGGCCGACGTCAAGAGAACGACCCGACGCGAGAGAGTAGCTCTGACACGTTGTTAATTTGGTGTTGCTGGGCAACGATCGTATCGATCGTGGATTATTATCAAAATTGGTTGGTTTGGCGTGAGAGAAAAATACTGTTCTGGCTGAAAATTTACGATCGTTTACGACCAAGCGAACAGGCCGCTAGTCGGCGCCGAGTGAGACCTTGAGCGCGAACGTGGAGCTAGCGCCGCCCACGACTTGCACCCACGTGGCCCGCTCCTAGCCCCAGTCACGGTGGCCGGCTCCCCGCCTTCATAGACGCTGGCCCCCGCATCTCACTCGCCAAGGGGAGCACCAAAGCAGCGTGCATGATGTATAATTAAGACGTACTTCGAGGCTATAAGGGGAGGTCCGGTGCGTGGTGGAGACAGGGTCATGTATGTGCATTTGCCACAGCAAGTTGTTTTGGGTCGGTCCACAGGCCGAACAAACAAGCGTCCAGCAGACTGACGTCCTATTGCCCTACCCAAAGCGTTACCGTTCTTCTTTTGGCCGATTTGACTGGAACTAGAATGGAACCTTTGACGTTGTTTTGTTTTCTTTTCCTTTGGACGAGCAATCTTTATGATCTTATATAATTTTTATTTATGCCCCTGGGACCGAAAAGCAACAACTTTTACGACGAATTCTTGGAACGTTGCTGCTGCTTTTAGCTTCTTCTGTCCCGGTTTTTGCGTGTTCCCTATTATTCATTCCATATTTCCATGCCGACTGTTCGAGATGCAACCAGGAATTTCTAGGATATCACTGCTCATCTTGCCAGCATTCTTTTGTGTTCGTATACCTGACTTCGAAGAAACGGCGAATCAGAATAATGCGACGCCATGCACTTTTATGATCCATATCCCGAAATTTTCTATCATGTTTGCTTGTTACGACTTCGCTACGATAGAAGAGATCGTTCCTGAGAAAAGCAGTGCGATCAGCTCCCAAAAGTTCCACGATCGTTCCTGCAGTGAGGTGCCAATCTGTTACGGCCAAGGCCAACCGTGTTAACGGAATTCAACCATTGGCACGGAACTGCTGACTTGTGAGGCGCATGAAGTGGGAATGGCGCTACAGGCTTTTGCAAAATGATAACCTGTTGTAATTAGGACTAGTACCGAGGATTATTGAAGTCATCCCACTAAATTCAAAGGATTGACTTACGATGTAGCACACCCATCTATAATCAAATGATCCCTCAAACCAAACGTCACATATTATTTTTAAGAAAAAAAGATGTGTTTATTTATTACTCAGGAATAAAGCAGTATATGGTATATGTAGTACTTTCTCCTATGCTGCAACATTATTTTAGAAAAAGAAAATGTAAGCAGAAACAAGAAATGGCTTTAGTTAGTGGATTAGTCCAAATGTAGGTCTCAAATTATTATTCTACCTTTGAAAAAATCAATTTCTAGAATTGTCTTAAGTCAAATTACTATTCTTCCTCAGACCAAATATTTGTACTTTTTTCTATAATTTCAGCCAAATATAAAAGTTTTGACTTATGACAACTTTAGAAATTGATTTATTCATAGACAGAGAAGTGCCATTTTTCGCTGGGTATATTGTTTGGCGCTGCTTGGTAACATAAACAAACTTCCCAAACAAATAAAAAATCTCACACAAACATTACAAAACCGAAAGCATTTGCGGATGGTGTAATGCGCGTATGACGAGCTCTTTGACCTATTGATGCCGGTAGCATGCGCTGGGCGCTGGACTGGGGCCCACAACCCGTGGTCGCCGTCGACGCCACCAAGGTCCATCGGCGGGGACCGAGCGCTCGAAAAAAAATGTAAGCACCCAAAAAAATATAGTTGTAGATCTAGGTTAACACGTTGATTTGATCGATTTAGTGCCACTTTTTCACGGGCGCTGCTCGGTAACATAAACAAACTAAACAACAAATACTATGTGAACACATGGTGGAGATGTGCCCATGTGTGTGTGATGAATGATTGACACATGTGTGAAAGGTTTGAGGTTTTCCCGGTTGAGTCATATTTTATATGTGCTTGATTATGTTAATGGCTAACCGAAGGTGTTGTGTTGAGTTGTGTGCGTTAAGTGTGTTGTGCAACATGTCTCTTGGTGTCGGTGCAGAAAGTGACCAACACGTAAATATTTATAGTTTTGCCGTACATTGTGATCGGATGTGGCCTAGCACTCAATGACACAGGGTTTATACTGGTTCAGGCAACGTGCCCTACGTCCAGTTTAAGTCGGTCGGTGACTTTATTCCTGAGCCCAGGTGCTCGAAGTTTGTTGTGGGGTTACAAACGAGAGGGAGTAAGATGGGGGGTATCAGAGGTCCGGTCGGACTCCGGACTGAAGGGCCAAGAGTGACGGGAGCCCCGACGTGCGCTAAGTGTTGCTCTGTTCGGCTTTAGAGTTCTAGAGCCGGACAGAGAGAATCAGAATGATCCGTATGTTGTTCGTTGGGATCTTTGGTCGTTCGGATTGATCCTCCTCCTTTTGGAGAGAGCGCATCCCCTTTTATAGATGAAGGGGACGACCTTACAAGAGAGAGAGAGTGTGAGAGAAAGATAGTATGTGTGCTACCTAGTCTTGTTGCCCACGCCATCGGGTACAAGACGGTTTGTCAGTGCCCACAACATTGTTGGTGTCCGGACGCATGCGGTTGGTTCCACCATCTTCTTCTGGCATGGCCAATGTCGACGCCTACCATACTGTAGGTCAAATGTCGGCGCCCACAATACTGTTGGTGTTCTGACATGTCTAGAAGGTTATAAAGTACCCTTCTAACATGACCTGACAGTACTGTCCTACAGGTGTGTAGGGTACGGTCCTTGATATTACGGTTTGACTGGAGTGCCCTGACTTACTTGCTCTGTCCGTTTCCTAGGTCTTCACCGAGCGGGCGTCCCCGGTCGATCATTCCCCAGTCGGCTCTGGCCTCCCGGTCGGAGAAGAGCTATAAGCAGAGGTTCGATGTACTAGAGGTCGGAGAAGCGAGTTGGAGTCGGAGGCGAGCGTCGTCCCTTCTCGGCCAGGCCTTCCGATCAAAGAGGCGGGTCGGAATCGGAGGTGAGCGTCGGTCCTCCTCGGCCAGGCCTTCCGGTTGGAGAGGCGGGCCAGAGTTGAAGGCGAGCGTCTGTCCTTCTCGGCCAGGCCTTCCGATCGAAGAGGTGGGCCAGAGTCGGAGGTGAGCGCCGGTCCTTCTCGGCCAGGCCTTCTAGTCGGAGAGACGGGCCAGAGTCGGTAGCGACGGAAGCGAGCGCCGGTCCTTCTCTGCCAGGCCTTCCAGTCGGAGAGGCGGGACGGAGTCGGTAGCGACGGAAGCGAGCGCCGGCCAGGCCTCCTGGTCGGAGAAGCGGGCTAGAGTCGGAAACGAGCATCGTTCTTCTTCGGCCAGGCCTTCCGGTCGGAGACTGGATTGCTCTTCTGGCCTGTCGTTAGGTTTTCAGGCTAGCCCAGGAGTTGCACATCGTTCACAATGTCGTCTGCT